TACAACTCTCATTGCTACCCAAAATGTGTGATCGCAATGACTGACATTCTCTTTGATGATATGTGAAATTCAATTTCATCAGGGATATGTTTCCTTGCAGGCCCGCCACGTATTTGCTTCATTTATGAACTATCTTCAGGCAAATACCAGCTTTCCGATGCACTCAAAGTTGGGTGTTTTGAGCCATAATTGACAAAGTTATGGGGTTTTGTAGTAATCAAAATTTTCTCTCAGCACTGATCAGCCAAATTCCAGCATCTGTTACAGGTGGTAATCTGATGATTATGAGGGATTATTGTTAGTACACTCACCAATATGAACCCCAAAAATACAGAAAAATATGCAGATTGGAGATCACAAACCCAGGAACAGGATGCATATTTTTTCATATTTTTCACTTTGTTTCTGACCTTTCCAGATTTTTGTATACAAATAATTTAATTTTCTGCCCAGAAAATTTTATGTTTCTTGTAGTGTTAATTAGCTTCTCAAAGACTGGGTGTTCTTTTTCATTTTTTTGTGTCCTGGAGTTGTTTGAATGTTAAACTTTATTCCTTGTCTCATTGTGCACATCATCTTTGAATCCAGTGCATTATTCTGAAAGGAAGTTGACTGGCAATGATTCAACTCAAGTTTTGCATCTTTCAGTTGCTTCAAATGCATCAGATTGATTTTTCATTGATGATATTTCCCTTGGGATGATCCACTCCTTCTTTAGGGGTAGTGGGTCTAAGTGAGCTGGGATTTCACGTGTGAAACATCCCACCTCATTCTGAGTGTAGTGGCCATCAAACAGAGAGACCTCTCGTACTCTCTTTGGATGGCATTAATTCTACTGGTACAAACGTGAGACGTAATGTCTCAGTCTTGGACCGTGGCGCAGGAACAATGTAGTCCGGGAGGGAACCATCCCCTCACTTGAATGCATTGGAATCCGCGCCAGTAAGGACATATAGAGTGTAAACAACAAGATGTCCTTCGTCTACTGGCAGGGGTGTGGGGGTAGCCCCAAGAGAGTAGGACAATCTGAGGGGTAAAAGGCCCTTTCCTAAACTCGAGGGGTGAGAACAAAGATTCGAAATGAGGGGTTGGCTTCTCTCCCGGGAGGTGGGTGGGTGTCAAAAAAGAGAAGAAGCTAAATCGGAGAGAGATTGGAAAACGGCGAAATTTGGGCTGGAAAAACAGGGAAAGGATAACGGCAAGGGGAACAAAGCTGAGAGCTAACCTGACCGTTATATGAGCTTGACATGTTGAGCCAAGGCAGACCCTGGACCAGTCAAAGTAACAAAGACTTGTTACTTGAAACTGCCCAGGCTGGTTTTCCCTTTGAGCCCTTAGTAACCGCCTGACCAATCGGATTGGACTACATGATACCGTCGCAGGCTTTGGGTATCATTTCAATCCACTCCTTCTTTAGGGGTAGTGGGTCTAAGTGAGCTGGGATTTCACGTGTGAAACATCCCACCTCATTCTGAGTGTAGTGGCCATCAAACAGAGAGACCTCTCGTACTCTCTTTGGATGGCATTAATTCTACTGGTACAAACGTGAGACGTAATGTCTCAGTCTTGGACCGTGGCGCAGGAACAATGTAGTCCGGGAGGGAACCATCCCCTCACTTGAATGCATTGTAATCCGCGCCAGTAAGGACATATAGAGTGTAAACAACAAGATGTCCTTTGTCTACTGGCAGTGGTGTGGGGGTAGCCCCAAGAGAGTAGGACAATCTGAGGGGTAAAAGGCCCTTTCCTAAACTCGAGGGGCAAGAACAAAGATTCAAAATGAGGGGTTGGCTTCTCTCCCCATTCCCTCGCGGTGTTGAGAGCCGTGAGCCTAGTGAAGCCGCACCCCTCGAGACACAATTTGCGAGGGAGAATCCATCTAACACCCCGAGCTATGAACGTGTTGCCCCCAGACTTTCTGTCAGGACGGAAAGCGATGAGAAAGGAAACGTGAACATTAGTTGCATTCTCGAGAAACCATGAGTCCCTAGAGACCAGCAACGGTGAAGTAGACGCACTCCTTGTGGTAGTCAAGTGTCATAGGAAGCCTCCAAAAACCTCAATAACTTCACTGTTCGCTGCAGGTCCTTCTCGGAGTATTTCCGTAAGTACAACTTATAAGCGTCCAATGCCCAACGTCCACGACTCTTGAGTT